GGTTCTTATTCACCATCTGAAGTGTGTCTACTCTACTTGGTACCCCACACTGGCTTGAAATGTAGTTTTATATGTCATAATTCTGTACTCACTGTCAGGAAGCAGCTGTTGCTGCTTTTGCTTAGCTTTTTTGCCATGGGATGTAGCTCTTTGCCCTCTCCATCCACCTTTGCTCATTTCAGTGTCTCCAGAAATACTGGCAGCATCCAGGTTCCCTTTTCAGTGGTGTGGCTGAGGAGTGCCTGCTTTGAGCACCAGGAAACAGACAACCCTTGTGTGCTGATGGGCCCCAGTTAAAATGCACAAGCTGGATAGTGTTGAGAGGGGATGGAATACAGAAGCAGAAGGGTTTGTGTTGGAAGAGACCTTAAAGAGCATCTCATTCTACCCTCTGCCATGGGCAGGGACACCTTCAGCTGGACCAGGTTGTTCAGAGCCCCAGCCAACCTGGCCTTGGACACTCTCAGGACTGGGCTGTCCCTGGAGAGTCTCTTAACAGCTGCATTATCAGTCTTAAGTTCTGTGCTGATGCCAATATCTACTGTAGAAAGTGGTTTTTAGAGACTGGAAAAGATGTATTGACTCAGCAATCTAGGCACTGCTACAGCTCAAAGTTAAAATAAATTATTACACTGTTGAATGATTTAATCACTTAATGAATATAACATTTTTGGATAATACTGTTGCTAATATTTTCAGAGTCTCTGTAAGATACTCTTTGTTTGCATTAAATCCTTTCCTGACCTTAAACTGGCCAAGCTCTCTCGAGCCTGAGGCAATGAGAGGGGTGAAACACAGGTCTGGGTGCTGCACTGCCTGCTTGTGGAGGGGCATCTGGGAGTGTAGGGTCTGTGTTTGAGGTCTTCACACATAGGACATGCTGTAATCCTGAAATATCTGCTCAGGGTTTATGCTCTCCATCTTGCTGGCATTTCCTCAATTTGAAGAAATTTAAATTAAATTCATCAGGGTAAGGCATTTTCACTCTACTTTTTCTGCCAGAGAGCAGATGATGATGAAAAGGAGAGATACCCTTACTTTGAAAGGGGCAGGGAACCCCTTCTAGAAGTGTGGGATGAAGGGAATGGGATCACTGCTGCTCCTGGAGCCACTCCAGCCTCCCAGGCTGGGCTCTGCTGCTGCCCCCGCAGTCCCCTGCTGCTGGAGGGAAATTTACTTTTCCCTTTGGCTGTTTGGGTGGCTGCTTCAGGCTGCAAAATCCATTTAGCTGCTGCACATCTGCCAGTGCTCTGCCTGAGAGAGAGGTTATTACATTAAGCTGCAGATCTGAGAGATTGCAGTAATATTTTTGTACTAAAAGATGCCTTGTCCCAAGATGCCCCTGGCGGCAGGGGACTGATGCCCACCATGCATAATTTATGTCCTGCCCTAATTACCTTCCAGCCCAGCTTTTGCAGCCATGCATTGACGGCAAAGCTCCTTATTTTGGAAAGCAGAGTTCCCTGCAGGGCAGGGAATGACCCCAGGAGCAGTGTGAATGCTTTTTTGTCTCTCTCCAAAATTGTAACCTATTTTTGGACCAGTCATTGAGAGGATAACAATTTTATTAGCTGAAATAACCACAAACTGCAGCTACTCACCAAATGGCTGCAGCTTTTGACCTGTATTTTGGCCTCCTTCTCTAGGGGTTGGTGTTTGTGGCCCAGAACAGGCTGTGACCCTCTGTGCCAGCCAGGGTGATGTGGAAACTGCTGCAAGGTACCTGCACAAGAAAACCCACAAACCAAAACAAAAATACCCACCAAACCAAGGCAGAGTGCTATTTAAAGGAGAAAGGGATCATTTTAGATAAATTTTAGCTTTTTTCCTCTTGTCTGTTCTCTCCAGATGTTAGCTGTACTTAGGTATTAGTGGGCAGTGGGTACAAAAGTCCTTATATTCCCCAAGGGTCCTTTCTCTTACCTTCATCTTCAAAATATCTCTGATAAATAGAAGACACTGGTGTATTGGAAACAAGAAAACCAAGTCATTTGCCTCAGACTGCACAGACACTGAACCCCAGACCCTGCCTAGGAATCATTTCCCTCTAAACAAAGCTGGGCAGGGAAGGACCAGCAGCTGCCGATGCTGGAGTGCGACCTGCCAAATCCCCTCGCCCTCCCTTCCATGTCATGTCCTGATTTTAATGTCACAGTGGAGCCAGATCATGCACAGGAAGGAAATCTCCAGCTTTCACCACTCATCATCACTGGGCTGTGTGGAATCTCCCAGAGTTATTTTATCAGCCGTGTGCCACTGGGTTTACACTAAAAGAGCCATTCAGGCTCCCCTGGCATGCTGAGGCTGCCCAGGCTGGAGCAGGTCACTCAGACTGGCCAGGATGGAAGCTCTGGCATAGCCCTTGCTTCCTTGATGCCACAACATTCCTGCCCGGGAAAGTCAGCCTTCCTCTACCACATCCCTGTGGGTTTTAGGCAGGGTCATTCTAAAATAAGCAGGCTTTGCTCTTCTCTGTCAGTCCCAGTGAAATAGAATTTTAGCAATAGGTTTGTGTGTGAACTCTGAGCTTCAGGATGATCTGTTTCAGAGGACCCTAAATCCATCCTGGAATTCAACATTTGATCTGTCTGGAGGCACAACTGTGTCCTTCATCCCTGCAGGCCACTAGGTAAGATGTCCATCACCACATGGTGCTCACAGCCCTCATCACCTGCCTTGGCCTGTGCAGATACCTCTGGCCAGCAGCATGTAGATAACTTCACCTGTAGCTTGCAAAGCACAGGGTTTAGCAGACACCCCCTGATGTTTAGGCTGTTTTTGGGACTCCAGTTCTGTCCTCAGGCTGGGGCAAAGATTTTGTCAAACGGTACAAGTTGGAAAGTGGGGGGAGGCTTTGGCTGCTTTACAGCCTGAGAAATTCTACAGTGACTCAGAAAAGGAAATTTTCTGCCTGAGGAAACTGGCAAGGTGCTACAAACCATGAAAAGGGACTTGTCACTGTGGTGGTGACGAGAAAGGTGAAAGAGAGATTGATGCAGGAGCTGAAATATTCGTCTGGCATGAGACGTTTGACTCCTCCAAATATTAGATTGCACTCTGAGTGGTACTTTGCAGTTAATGATCTGACCAGAAGCACAGTTTGATGGAATAAATGCATGTAATTACAGACATCTCCTACTTTTCCTTTTGTTTTGGATGACAGTCTGTCCTCACACAATTCTCCAGCATAATTTGCTGTGCACATTAATTAATGCCTGGTATAGAATGGAAAAATGTAGAAGCCTATAATGCAAATCTTCCTCAGAGGTGGAAGGTGGAAGACCTGCTGCCTGCACTACAGGGCAGCTCTTCCATCACCCTGGGCTGTGTGGGGACAGAGAAATCTCATTTTGCAGTCTTTGATTCCAGCAGCAAGGGATGTTTTGGCATTTAGTGCTCAAACAATTTTTAAGAAAGATGAAGAGGATTAGATATTTCAAGATGGAGAGATGCAGATGAGGAGCCTTAAAGGAGAGTGGGGCCTTTTGTGCATTTTGGGCTGCCAGGAGCATCCTGCAGGTCGTGGGGCCTTTTGTGCATTTTGGGCTGCCAGGAGCATCCTGCAGGTCCCCACTCACAGCAAGGAGAGCAGGCACCATGTCCTTCCCTGCCCACAACTCACAAATTGCTGCCACTTGCAGTTCCTTACTAGAAGAAACAGCATGGGAAGAGCTGAAAAGAAAAAAAGAAAAAGAAAGAAAAAGAAAAACTCATCATGGCCATTAGGATGATCTGCTTAGAGTTAGATAACCAGAAATGAGGATGATCTGCTTAGAGTTAGATAACCAGAAATGAGTTGCTAAGCAATGCTGGGGGAAAATGATTTGGAGAGAACGTCACGGTGTGTGATACCTAAGGAGGGAGAGATGTGTGTGTCTAGCAGAAATCATGCTCAGCTACCGTGGCACAGCAAGCTGGGCACCAGGGCTGTTACAGAGAGGAAATGCAGCATTTTGCTCTATGGGTTATTACTTTTATTATTTACTCTTTTATTGTTGCTTGATGGGTTCTGGAACTTTCAGGGTCCGAGTTTGCAGAGGAGCTCATCTTGAGGATGCATCCTCAGCCTTCTGTCCTTGGATCTGCATGAATGTGTTCACTCCTCAGTTAAACAGATTTCCATCATTTTGAAAAGCCTGTCAAAACCATTTAGCTATGAAAAATCACTAATCATTTCTGATATCTTCAGAGAGAGGGTGTATTTGTAGAACTAATTAGCTCCTGTCAACTTATAATGTGTGCCTTTGCTTTTCTGGTGTAGAAAACCATTCAACCCCAGCCCTGAGTGATGCTGGGCAGCATCAGGGCACTAAAGACTTGGAGGGGGAATGAGATCTCTGCTGAGCAGTTCAAGGTTCCCATGCTTGCTCATGGCTGCCCATGCTTGGCAGGGAAACTATTTAAGGATTTTGGTGTTCAGATCTGGCCCTCAGCATAGACCAAGCTGTGAAATAATCAATCAACAATAGCCTCCTCAGTAAAATTGAAACTCCTTTTTCTTCTGGCTTTTATTCACGGTATCTATTTACAAGCCCTTGTCTCTTACCCTGGGCAGAGCTCTGAGTCGTGGCTAATGACTCAGAGCTGTGATATCACCGTGCTTGGCTCTTCTCCTCCATCCGCCGCGTGTCTGCAGCCCGTCCTTGCTGCCTTTTCCTGAGATAAACCCTGCCTGGAGCAGCACAGACTCTGACTCCCTGCAGCACTCTGGGAAAGCCAGCCTGGCCCACACCACCTCGTATCAAATAATCCATGGCATCAGTTTGGATGGCCCCGAAGAGCAGCTCCCCTGTGAGACCATCCTTCTGTCAGCAGATTTACCAGGGAACAAAGGCAGCTGCATCTGTGTTATCTCCCGGCTGGAATCGCCTCTCCCAGGATTGTACAGAAATGTTTCTTGTTTAGGCAAGAGGAACAGAAAGCACTGTGAGGAGTGTCCTTGTTGATAAGGGATGTGTTGAGCTAAGCAAGCCTGGCGTTCCCACGGGCCAGCTCTGCCATGGAGTGGGTGAAGGTGGCTCTGCCAAGTTTGTGCTGAAGCAGAGCTGGGTGAGCCCAGGCTGGGGCTCATCCATGGCAGCTCGTTAAAGGATGATCCAGCTGTGTGAGCAGGGATTTAGCATCGCTGAAAGTTCCATGGTCAAGCATCAGTGGCAGGTGGGAGTGGGATGTGCTCTGTAACCCTGGCACACTAAATTTGGGGTGGCTAAAGTGGAAAAGGTTTGGGATGGCTGTAGAGAAATCTGCTCCTGCTGTGTTTTCTGTGTGGAGAAGCTGGTGGGCTCCACCTGGTTTTAGAGGGGAGGTCATGGTAAGGTAAGAAGGGAGTGCCCAGGGAGACCCCAGGTCCTTGGGGACCCCCAAAGGGTCACAATTATTTGCTGGCACCAAACCAGGAACTGGTTGTTAGGACTTATTAGGAACAAGACACCTTAGAAAGAGGCAGAGCGAGCTCCAAAACCTTGGAGATGGATTTTCCCATCTCTTGTTGCACCTGTGCCTTTTGCAGTGTCCCCCTGTGTGGCAGGGATGTTGAGTGCCCACGAGCTGGTGGCATAGCAGAGCCTGGCACTCAGCACTTTGACAGAGCACAGACTTCAGTGTGTTTTTCCCAGCCTGGTGTGATTTTCCTTTTATTTTTTGCTATAAAACAGCAGTGATCTGGATCCTCCTGAGCTGTGACACACCCTGTGCAGATCAGTTAATCTCTGCCTGCTTTGCTTTTTGCTGGGTGTTACAGCCTTTTGAGGGCTTTGGGAGAATTAACGACTGTAAACAGCTTTGATGAGTGTTACAATTAAAGACAAATTGCAAGTTCAAGGAATTACAAGCAGCCAGCTTGGGAAGGTATTGCAGGTTGGTGGTGGTTGTCCCTCAGATGCTGGAGATCAGAGAGATGAGTCTGTCAATGCCTTTGGCAGGATCTGGGCTCTGGGTGTCAGGGGGTTGTCCCCTGTGTCCTGGGAAGGGACAGTGCCATGCCCACAGCACGACAGCAGAAGGGATATTGCTCAAAACTAACCCCCACCTGACAATTACACTTATTTTTAGCTTTCTATGAAATTTCTCTGGTCAGAAGATCACAGGTCACCATCACTGCTTGCTTTCAAGACAGTAAGGGCAAGAAAATTCTAATGAACTCTTCATTCCTCAAGTGTTTACTTCTATTTTAGACACTTAAGAAAGACTCAGACTGCAATTAGCCAGCCCAGTCTTTCCCATGCCCTGACCCTGGGTTTAGACAAAGGCCACAGTGCTGTCTCATTAAAGATCCACAGAGACATTTCTTTTCATAAGGAAGTTTAAGAACATACTAGTTCATTTAACAAATGTGCTTTTACACTGACCTTCCTGTAATTTGCATTCAGACTATCCTATAAAATGCCAAAAAGGTTCTTAATGGCAATAATAAAGAGATCATAAACTAGGAGGAGCCAGAGATACTGGCCATCTCTTCCCCAAGACTGTTGTTTAATCTGTAGTGTGTATGTTTGTGTTGGATTGTGGTTGTGTATTTGCTGCCTTGTGTAAAGGGGCTTTTTCCCTTCTGCTGCTGCCGTTTTTCCCCCTCAGAATGAAATTCTGGTAAGTTCTCCCCTCTGCCCCCCACTTCCATCTCCATATTTTAGACAAACTGGAGGCAAGAATTTATGCTGTTATGAAGATTTCTTTAATGGGGTGAAACTTCTCATTTCCATCCTGAATAATTTATGGCCAGCTCATTCCCACTAGTTCTAACTAGGGGTTGTTAGCCTAATTATTTTCTTTTCCTGCTGATACTTCTTATTTACGTATAAACAGTGGTTGTATCCTCTCTCAACCTGCTTTTTTTCTTTCAGCTAAGTAAGCCAAAATTCTCATGAAGTTGCGCTCTCTTATTTCAGGTAAAAAAATTATTAAATCCATTAATGAAGACCCAGTTGGGATCCTGATCACCTGTCCCAGTTTATCTTTGCTCAGCAGGTGAAATGCTGCTCTGAGGAGCTGCTGAGCAAACCTCCACTGATTTGAACATGATCACGACCTCCCTTGCCTAATTCAAGTGTTTGTAAAGTCATAGAGAGGAGCTTGATAAGTAATCTGATTTTTAAGTAGGGGTTATTTATGTATAGCCACAGAAAAGAAGGTTTGACTGCTTAATTGAGCAACTGGTCTAGTGGAAATTGCCCCTGCCAGTGGCAGGGGGGTGGAATCGGATGATCTTTAAGGTCCCTTCCAACCCAAAGCTTTTGATGGTTCTGTGATCATCTGCAGAGCAGTTGCAGGGAAGATTCATCTACATTGCTGGTGTCCAAGTCTGACATTCAAAGGTTAGAGGTCTTTCAGGTGGCATTTCTGCTTAATTGTCACTGATTAAACTAATTTACAGCAAACTGTATGAAATTTGAGTGAATTTTCTGAGAGCTACTTCTCCAGTGCCCTTCTCAGAAGGCAATTCCACCTGAAAAAATAAGGTTTTTCCTTGGCTGCCTCATCAAACCCCTTTACCAAACCTTCTCACCTGTGTTATGAGGTGTCCATGTTGCAAAGTTTAGGGTTTTCACATCTTTTCCTGGGGCTTAGAGCAGAGTGCTGTTAGCAGGAGGAGCAAGACTGTGCACAGGAACCACATCCATTGCTGGATTGCCCTGTTTTCTCTCCTGGATTATCTGTATTTCATATTTGAAGGCTATAAATGAATCATTTCAGTAAAGAGAATGCAGCTAACACTCAGGGAGAGCACGTATTTGGCACCCATCTCCAATGTGTGAGATCTGTGCCAAATCTGCTGCTCTCTTTTGAGGCACAAGACAGCGTCCCCAGTTTTGTAGCAGGCAGCAGCACCCACTGAGCACTTCAGAAATCTGATCTATTTTCTTCTGGAAATGTGATGGAGTGTTTGAACTACACGACTGAGAATGGTTTTGAAAAATGGTGCTTGGCAGCTTTGTTTGCTTTCTGAAATCTTTTGAAAACACCAGTTTTAGGAAAACTAACCGCAACCCTAACAGAAGGATTAATTCATCTGTTTCCTTAAGGAAAAATAATTACTACAGATCATTCAAAGCTCCCAAGGAGTCGGCAGAGAAGTCTTCCCCAGAGCTGTTGTCTGTGACAGCCGGTCTGGCTGTGATGCTGTAAAATCAATCATCCCTCTTGGCCAGGGCAGCGAGCAGGAGGAGACACCTCTGTGCTGGCACCTGGAGACTCAAAGCTGCTGCTGAGACTTTCCTTTAGCTGAATGTGTTGAGAGATGCAGCATCTGCCGTGGTTGGTGCTGATGAAGAGATATGAGGGAGATGGTTTTAATTTAAGCTATTGCAGTTCTTCATTCCCAGGGATGCACAGTGCCCCAGAGGGAAGCTCAGCTCAGCGCTGGGAGAGTGTGGGTGCACAGGCAGGGTGGGAAATGAAGCATTTTACATCAAAGTGAAACCACTGGGAAAACTGAACCAGTGCTGGCAAAGGGCAGCAGAGGAAGAATGTGGAGAAAAGCCTTGCAGGAAAGCTGTGAGCACATGAGGGGGTTGGAGCTGGGGTTTCAGAGAGCTCAGAGACATCCCAGAGCTCTGCAGGGGGAGTGGGATGGTGGATCATCCGTGACGGCTGCTGGCAGGGAGGAACCTGGTGGGACTTTAATAGCTATCAGCATACTGCTGTAAAATATTAGTTCTCCTGGGAGGAGAGCCCCAGGCGAGTGGTAGAAATAGGAAGAAAAATAGGAAGAAAAAAGGAAAGCGATGGGGAGGCAGCGGAGCTGGGCTGGGTGGCTGAGCATCAGAGCGCTCAGCTCACCTCTACCTGCTCTGCTCCAGGGCAGGTGGGATGGATCCTTGGCAAGGACTGCCTGTCTTGAGTTGCTTTCCCACTGAACAAGACATTTTTCATTTCACATTTCCACAGGAAAATGTCAATTCCAGAGGAAAAAAAAAAAAAAAAGAGTGATTGTTGTTTTTATTGTTATCTGCTGTCAGTTCTTCCTTCAGGCTCTCACTTTTCTCACTGCAAGCTCTCCAGGCAGGGATTTATTCACCACTTCCAAATGACTGGCACGAAGGTACCGTGCCAGCAGAAAGAAATATCCATACTGATAGGAGTTAATATCTTACTTAGATATTTTCCTTTTGGAATGAAATGGAAAAACTGGACAACCAAAATTCAAATTGTTTTTGTATTCTTTTGAAACCTCTTTTTAATTGGTTGGATTCAAATTTTTTTTGGAGGGAAGTGTATTTTTTCTATCAAAAATCTATAAGCAAGGATTTTTCTCCAGGCATGTCTTGTCATGTGAATTTTATCAGCTCTCCAGACAAATGAAAAGGTCAGGTAAGTGACAGTGGAGGTGGGAGTGACTCTTTTGTTCAAGAAGATCTTGTCTTTACAGCTTTGAAGATAATTCTGGCTTTGAAGAAGACCTCACACATTTCTTTTTCCTAATTCTCAGCCTCTGGCTTCTGGCTTGTCAAGAGATTCTGGACATTGAAGATGCTTGGCCTCTAAACCTCAAGGAAAATCAACGTGCCTGCATCCAGGAGAAAGGAGATTTCAGCTCCTCTTTAGGTACTTGTGAAACCATCATGTCACTCCTCCGAGTTTTCATTCAGAGCCCTTGAAAATCAATTGTTCCATGAGCAGCCAAGCTGGCAGCTTGTGCTCTGCCTGGTTCCATGGGCCCTCTGCCCTGCCCTGCCAGCTCTCCTTGCCCAGGTCCCCATGGGTCCCCAGTGCCATCAAGGATCTCAGGCAGGAGCTGCTCTTGCCTCTCTCCATTTCCCTGCCTGTTCCCTCACCTTCTTGAAACCTGAGCAAATGCAGCACTCTGAGAGCATCACTGCCATGCCAAATGTGGAACAAATGGGTTCAAAACCTGCCAGAAGTGTGGTGGGAGGGGGGCAGGCCAGGCAGGGGAGTACACCACAGGATCTTTGTGACAGTCAATGCGGACAGATACTGCTTCCCTTCATTTGCAGAGCACAGCACAGCCATTCCAGAGCACAGACTGCCCCCTCTGAGACCCCCCAGTGCATCCCTGTCCCCACCCTGCTCCCCAAGGGCTTGGGGTCACCTTTGTAGTAGGTTTGTTCAGTGATTAGCAGGGAATCAGGGGGTTATGCTGTTTGTGCTGGTTTCTGCTGTTTTACGGGGGAAGAAAGGTTTAATTGTGCAGGTGATGGACTGAGGTGATAAGTGCTGACTTCAAAAGCTGCTCACACTCCGGTGGTGGTGAGTTATTCCTGCAGGATCCACCTCCATGGCGTGGCTGTTTAACTAGAGCTGGATGATGGTGTTGGAAGCCTGCCCATCACATCCACTGGGCTCTCTGGTAATGACCCCACTGCTCTCTGACACGGTGACTGTGAGGGGTCTGAACCAAAGCCATGGGCCTGGTCCTCCTGGGCATTTTGGAATCAAAGCATAGCTGGGATCTGAGCAGAAAGGCCAACCATATGCCAGCTTTGGGCAGAGCAGGGAGATGTATGGACATGTACAGCCAGCTGTGTTCAGTGGCTCTCACCAGTCCCTGAGCAGACCTTGGAGGAGCAGGACTGTTCCTCATTTGTTGAAATGCAGCCCTCAGCATGATGAGTGATTTCTTGGCAGGATATCAAATATTGCTGAGGCCACAGAAATCAAACTCTTCCACTAGCAAGGAGACTTTAAAGTTTCAGGACATCCATCCCACCCCTGCTCCCTCTGTCCAACATTGGCAGATCTTGGTGGTCCTTCTACCTCCAAAAACCTTGCTCAGATGCTGCAGTGACGGTGACAGTGTCCCAGCTGTGCCTGTCCTCGAATGGACCTTGGTTGGACCTGCAGGAACCTGAACAGGTCCCAAGGGCCGATGCTGCTCGTTGCATCCAGGGCTGTTGAGCATCCCACAGGAGGGTGTTGGGATGTGGATAAGCCACAGACTGCTTTGCCCAATGCACTTCCTTCTCCATTCCTGTCTCTGTGAGCAGCAGAGCCTGTGGCATCCTCTCCTTCACCACTCAAGAGCTGCAGATTCACTGTTCACATGGAATCAAAGAATGGTTTAGGTTTGAAGAGACTTTAAAGCTCATCCAGTTCCAACCCCCTTCCATGAGCAGGGACACATTCCACTGTCCCAGGTTTCTCCAAGCCACATCCCAGCCTTGGACACTTCCAGGGATCCAGGGACAGCCACAGCTTCTCTGGGCAGCCTGTGCCAGGCCCTCACCACCCTCAGCGGGAAGAATTTCTTCCCAATATCTAATCTAAATCTACCCTCCTCCAGCTTATAGCCTTTCTGCTTTGTCATCACTTAGAGTCTGCAAATGGAAATTAAAAAGCCTCTGAAAGAATCTGTAAGTAATTTCTAATGATCCTTCCCAGGACATTTTATGAAATGAAGGACCGCTGTGCTCTGTCTGCAGTTAACCAAGGTCCTCTGGAACCAGGAGAATATTTTAAGAACAATGTTACTTTGCAGCAGCTCATAGCTAATGAATTCCCAATTCATATTTCACAGTAGGTTTAGAAGAAAAGAAAAATCCATTTTCCTCACAGCTGTAATGTATTTTCTAGTCACTCATGGAACAGATTGTGCTCAGACCTGCAGCAGTGTAACAAAAGCACAACTAGAGTTTGGCTACTTCGTGTCCAGGGTCCCTCATACACTCCATGCTCTAATTGGATTAAAAGTGTGTATTTCAGAGGCTGCCAGAGGCTCCATTTTCATATCACTTTGTTGGGTGCGCTCCCCATTTCCTTTTATTCTGTTTTTGCTAAGTGCCTGCAAAACAAATTACAGCAAATATTCCCTCATCAGGGCAATGCTTCTTCATTCACAGTGCATTTTAGTTTGTACATGTTGATGCATCCATCTAAATTGTGCTGGCAGAGACCTTGAAGGGAATCATTAGGAAATTTCATCTGTTTGGTGATCAGCTTTCTTTCATTTGCCCTGGTTCTTCTGATTCAGGATCAAAGGAGAGAGGCATGAGAGTAAAATCATGGAATCCCAGAAGGGTTTGGGTAGGAAGAGACCTTAAAGATCATCTTGTTCCACCCTGCTGCCATGGGCAGGGACAGCTTTCACTATCCCAGATTGCTCAGAGCCCCATCCAACCTGGCCTTGGACACTTCCAGGGATCTGGGGCTGTGAACAAACAGCAGGGATGCAAAAACTGCCTCAGTAGGTGATGAAGCATCTTCTGGCATCTGTGCTCCCCTTTGGGCAGCAGCTGGCACAGAATGTCAGCAGGTCTGTGCTGGAGAGGTGGCAAACAGAACTGGTGTGACCTGATTGGGGCTTTTTCAAGGCATTTAGGCTGCCAGACAGGACAACAAAACCCCCATGCATTATTTTGACTGGGTATTTGAGTCTAGCAGATGGCCAGGATGTAGCTGGAGTCAGAGCAGCCTCTCTGGGTCACATTTCTTTCCTTTCCTCCTCTTTTTTCCCAGGAGTCACCTTCAGTCTTATGTCTGCCAGGTCCTTAGAATTTTAGGAAAAATACCCATTTCCAGTCAGTGAGATAAACTGCTAATGGAAACAGATATGGGAGAAAATCTTCCAGACCTAGCAAACATTTTACCCAATAATGGGTTTCTAAAGGATATTTTTATTTTGGCTAATCAACCAAGAACTAGTCTGGCAACAATTACCCCCAACTCTTCTTCCTGGAGATCCACTGTTTGCTCCTGGGATGTGCTAGTGTGCACTTTCACATAAATGTAATCATTTTGGGCAGCTGCCTCAGCAAGTGATTGGGAGCATTCCATCAGCTTATTCTCAGTGAACATTTTTCTCAGATCTAGACTACAAATTTCTGACTTCACTTGGGATCTGTATTTCCTATACCTCATCTCTTCCAGATGATTCCATGTTTTCAAAGGCTTGGCATGAGGCAGTTGTGGTTTTGCCAGGGTTGTCACAGCCAACAGACCCACATCCCATGATGTTGATGCTGATTTGCATCCCAGCTCTGCTTCTCACTTGCCTGTTTGGTGGCTATTTTGCATCTGCAGAGAATCAAAGCATGGTCACATTGATAGTAGGGTCTTTAAGCATTTTAGCTTCAATTTTTGGCCTTCAGGGTACTGTAAATAGTACCTCAATGGTGACATTAATGCACTGCCTTAGAAGTAAGAGCAAAGGAGGAATCTGAAAGTACAAGTGGATGTGGATGTGCAAGAGCATGCCAACATGTTGATTCTTGAAGTTCATTGAGAAAAATACCCAGGGAAATGTAAAATTTGTAAGATTGGCTATAGATAATGAATGCAGCTGAATTGTGCACCAGCTGGGCAAGCAGCTCTTTTCCATAATCCTGAATTCACCTTAGAACTTTTAATTACTCAACTCAAATTTCCAATTATTTTCAAGACTGTGTGACAGAACATAATCCCTGGCCTAATGTCAGCACTGATTCTGACTCATATCTTCCCTCTCATCTTTGAGTAACAGTGCTGGATGTAGCCACCCTGGAAGACTCATTTTTTGAGCTCGTATCTCTAAGATCTGTTTGTAAAACTATCTTAAAAGGGCTGGCACAGGAGTGCCATTTGTTTTAAAGGGAATTGGGTATCCCAGCTGCTCCTGGGGCTTAGCAAAGCTCAGGACAGCACACGTAAACACTCTTATAATCATAATGGTTTTTACTTGGCTGTGTGCAATACAAAACACCCAGAGGAATCAGGCAAGAAACAGCAGCAGCAGCTTCTTGACCTGCAAGCAAAAACCTCCCCAGAGGTTTTGTGTACAGCAGCACAATGCCCTTTCTGCAATCCCACCCTGGCAAAGAGCATCAGAGCTGGGGCAGAGAGCCATCCCTCCAATGGCACTGACAGACAAGACCCCCAAAATATACTGGAACAAATGCCCACGGTTTTGTCTGGTTTCTGATTTAATGGGCTTTGATTTTTATTTTTATTTTTTTTTATTACTGGGTTGATTTAGGAAACAGGCTCCCTGATAAAGGTGAGCAGGAAAGTCACAGCTTTATGTCACAATCTCTGCAGTTTGTTCTCCCAACAGATAATTCTGCACCTGCAAAAACATTGGTTGCTTCATGCCTCTTTATTGTGTTTGGGGGGAGAGGAAAAGAGCCCTCCTGAGCTTTCCAGGGCGGATTTGAAGGTCAGAAGTCACAGAGAATAAGCAGATTTCCTCTCCCTGCTAACCTCCAAGGGCCACCCAGCTCATCCCAGTCCCTGGTGCTCAGGGTTGACACCAAATACTCAGTTACACTTCTGTGGTTGCAGTGTGTAATTATGGAGATTATCCTAATGGAGTTTGGAACTTGAGTACTCAGAGCCAGCTCAGATGGGGGGCAGCACTGTCAGCACCTGCTGCTGTGATCCCTGTCCCCTGGGAGGCACTTTCCCTGGGAATTACACATATTTATAGAGAGACAGACAATTTATCCTTTGGGCTTCAAGCTCAAAGTTCAGCTGTTCCTTGCTGCCCACCCACGGGCTCTGCAAGTTATTCCTGCCAGCCCCACACTGTGCCCCATTGCAGGGACCATGGGGAGGATCTTTATCCCCCAGGGGTCTCAGCATTGCAGGCTGGGGCAGGAGGAAGAGCCTTGGAGCAGCTGCTGGGGGAGAAGCACAGAGGCTTTGCAGCTCCCAGCCTGTTGTGACAGCAAAACCACCCCTGTCTCAGGACCCTTATCTGCCAACAGTGTAAATAATTCCTAAATGAGCTGGAAGGATGAAGACTGATGAACTCAGTTTTGCTGGAAAATGTTATCAGGTTGGGAACAGGGATGGCTGAACACTCCCTTATCTGTCCTGGATGAGAGGTGGGGGATAACTGGGGTCTCCCCAGCCCAACTCAGTGGCAGCACAGCTCCCAGAAGCATTTTACTCTTCTGTATCAAACTGAAGAGTTTTAGCTATTTGCTTTCATTTCTGCTGTTTGTGCACTTTGCTGTGTTTGTTATTCAGTGCCTTCTGTCCTCTCCCTGTCCCCTGTGCCAGCGATTAAGAAGATGCTGATGCTGTTGTGGGCTTTGGCACCTGGAGGTTGGGCTCAGAGGATCCTTTTGGTGTGCAGGGAACACCAGTGTGGTGACTGAGCCACAGGAAAAATTCCTGTTGTCCCATGTTCCCATTTAAAATCCCTACTAAACCCCCAACCTGACAGCAAAAGCCATGTAACAAATGTCAGGCTTAAATCATGATTTAATGCTTGCTGGGATGGGGTATTTGAACTGCCTTGATATGTTAAGCTATATAAATGTTAAAAAAGAAATTTGTTAATTATCTATTAAAGCATTTCTCTCTTAATTTTCCATTTAAATCCAGAATGGATGGACAGCAATGGAAAATCTTTCCTGGCTGTTGGCTCCTTAGTGCTTTGTGCATTTATTTATGCCCACACCAAAGGGATTCAGGTAGAAAATGCTGCTCAGGGCAGTTTTCAGGCTCAGAGTGGTCACAGAAACCCTCCTTGGAATCAATCTTTCAATCTCCTCCATGAAGACTTCATGGGATCCAACTGCATCCAATCTGGGGACATTACAGCCACTGTCCCAGTTATCCCAGGCCACTCCTCCCACCCAGCATTGCTCCAGCATGAGTTTGGGCTCAAATAGCAGCCAGGGTGCCAAGGCAAGCCTGAAAGAGCTCCATGCCAGCAGCCTGACAGAAATGCACCCCCCACGGGAATTTAATTATTCCTGTGTCCGCAGGGCAGCAGTCGGAGGCAGCAGGATGGGCAGGGTGGATTTAGCTGCTGCAAGAGGATGGTGCTGACATGAATCCCTGCCAAAGCCCCACCAGGACTCCTGAGGCAGCCCCAGAGCCCTCCAATACATAAAATAAATAAAATAGATACCTATGTAGAGTGTATGTAAATATTATACTCACATGTGTACAAAATGAGGAGGTAACTTGATAACTTCTGATCTGTCCAATAAGGACCCTTTGCTTTGTTTTTGCCTGTAAAAAGCAACAATTGTTCCTTATTTTTGTCTATATTTGGTGTAATCAGATCCCTCCACCACTGAAGCTCATTTCCTGCTGCTGGGTACATCCAAGCTATTATTGAGTATTTATTTTTCCACGGGCCTCTCTGTTTCTAATTACTTTGTGCTGATATTATGTGACAATGTTGAGTCTGCACCTCCTTTAATACCTGCCACATGCTGAGTATATTGTAAACAACACATTTTTCAGCTATTTCCTGCTATTATTTACCTCTTTATTTCTGATCTTACTATTTCTGGATATTTAATAAAGCTGTTTTCTGGTGGGGTTATTGGCCAGGAGGACAAGCAGACAGAAAGTGTACAGATACATTAGAAGAAACTTTACTAGCAATGCTTAAAACTGGTAAAATCTTGTGGGGTTTGTTGCTCTTTTTTTAATGGAAGACAGAGTTTTGCTGCAGCAAAAGTGATAAAAGACTGCTGGTGCAGAAAAATAGTATCTCTGTATGCTCACACATAAATAGCCTGTGTGGTGCTGCTACTGCTGCTCTGGCAACAGCCACTTGTGCTTAAAATCTGTTTCTTCTTCTTATTTGACAGACATCAGAATTTTACACGTGTGGGATGTCTCTCATAAACTGATTTTGTTTGGAAGACAGCAAACATTTTTTGAGAGATGAAGGGGAAAACTATTGAAAAAGGGGAGAACATATTTGATATTTTATTTGTATGTATTTATAAAATATATTTATGTAAGAATTTTGCTCTGTGAAAGCCTTGTAAGAGTTATGGTGCCATTGCTCTCCTGAGCTGGCAGGTGCTGGCCCTGGCCCACCTGCTGTGCTACCAGTAAAATTGGTGCTTTGCTTTTTGGAGGATTATTCCTCTTCCCAAATTAAACCTCTGGTCTGATGGACCAGGGCTCTCAGCTGGGTGGAGGCAAAGCGCTGCTCCTGGAGCACTCACTCACTCCTGCTGGATTTTGTACTTTCCCCTTCTGGAAATCCTAAATCAGCCTGAGCATCATCTGAGGCTGGGGTGTTTCTGTGGCTGCCAAGCTTGGCAGCAGCTGCTGTCACCTGTGCAGTCTCCATGCTGGGGGTGCATTATTGTCCCCAGCATCTTCATCCCACGGCTGCCACAGGAGCACATCCCTGCAGCTCTGAGGAGAGCCTGGCCCTCCAATGAGCAGGGCTTTTCTGGGCTCCTGTCCAGCACTAAACATGGAAAATTCCAACAGTCAGCCCTGTGTGTGATCAAGCTGTTTGGGATCTCTGAACTTTCAAAATAAACATGAACAAAACTGGTGATTTCCAACAGCAGATTCTGTTGAAAAGAAAATTGGCAAAGCAGCTACCTGAGTTATTGCCCACCTAAAATGAGAAACACTGACCTCTGGCTTTTAAAAAAGCCTTGCTTCAACTCTAATCTGGGTAATTTGTATAAATTTACATTTGAACAATAACAAGCTCTCTTTCCTGCCTGCCACCTGCATCACACCTGGCCACTTCAGCTGCAAAAACACATGAAATTATGGAAGAATCACCATTTTTCTGAAGCGTTGCCTGGTGTGTCTCACCTGTAGACTCCAGCTAGTTTTCCCCATTAAACATTTAACAGTCATATTGTAAAAGCTCCATTTACATTTAAAATCCCCTTTTGTGGTTTCTATGCCTAACATATACATGCACCATGACCTGATAAGAGTTCTACCTGCAGAAGAGCTGTAAGGGCATCCAGGACAGGAAGCTGTGGGTGTGCCCAGTGGAGCTTGGGCAGCAACAGGGACAAAACAAAAATGCCTGGCTGGATCTAAAGGAAAATTTTACCAAATTTATTAAGTACTCTAGATCCAGAGTTATCAGAATTTTGCTTTTTCAAAGTTTAACAATATTTTCAAGCATTGGGAAAAGGAATTCCAGGAAACTCAGGGAGTAATACAAACCTACAGGAGCACTTTGGCAGTTTTCCTCCAAACCCAGCTCTGAAATAAATTGCTTTTTCTTGCAATCCCAGGCCTTGTTTTCCTCTGACTGGTGACAATCTGTGTCTGTTAGGCTGCACAACCACACACGTGGCTGCCAGCCTGCTTTGAAAGAGAGGATAACAAGGCAGCGTGATCCCATTAGCTCTGATTTTTGTTGGTATTTGTTCCATTTAATCACAACAGGTTTGTTGTGTCATTGTGGTGTAAAGGATGTGTTGTCACATAAAAGCACAGCTCTGAAACACCAGGTGGGGCTGGGTTTTGAAATGGAGCTGTTAAGTCAGGCCCTTTGCTTAACTTCATGTAGCAAAGGAAAACGGGTTAGTTTTAGAAATACTTGCGGCTTTACCATGAAAAACGTGGCTTGCTCAACACAGCATTAATTACTGGTACTGTAAACGTTTTTAAACAGCATTAGTGATCTCTGGGATTTTCAGAAAAAGAAGAAAACTACCCCTAACTGTTGCTTCACCACTGCCTGGTTTTCCTCCAATGGGAAATTCCAAGGCAGCACTACCCAGTGCCCCAGACTGGGGCAGGACTTGTGCTGCTTTATTTTCACTGAAGCGTATGAAGTCCAACACATCCTGTCTTGCAGCCAGTTACACACACTGCTCACATCCTTTTGCTGCCTCTGATCAGCAAAATTAAACAACCAGTGAGGCAGACACAGCACAAGTAGCTGTTACT